CTAAAAGAAGAACTTAACATTAGTAAAATTAAGGGAGCACACTTTCCCGGACATAGTAATATATATTTCTCTGCTTCATTTATTTTTCTTTAGTCAGCGAAGCTATACAGTCGTCCTGAAGTATATAAGTGATGGAATAGATGCAGTGTTTCTCAACCTCAGCAACTTTAAGATGTATGGACTTCAACTCCCACAATTCCCCAGCCAGCCATATTGCTGAGATTGAGAAACGCTGGAATGGAGTGTACATCTAAAAGACACACGCATTGTTCTGGACTACCAGCAGATACCCACCATTGGCTGCATTTTCCAGCTGGCAAGCCAGATTTTTGTTTGCAACGCAATAAAACGATCAGAAGAACTTTTGTTCAGATTAAATCTTGCTTCCAATATATAGTTGTAGCCAGAATAATGAAAAGGATTAAGTTCTGCACATGGTAATTGAAAGCAGCTTAAAAAACACCGGGGAGGTATGCAAATTCTTCATATGATTGACTTCTGCAGATATCTCATCTACCTTGATTCATCCCTTGTGGGTTTGACTTTTGATTAAATCTTGTGAGGTATTGCAGGAAAACTGGGGGTGAGGTGTTTGAGCGTTTTCCTTAGAAATGGCTGCTCAGTCAAGTTGAGAGAGGTGTGAAAAAGCGTTTCAAAGCGATTCTCCCAGGCCTTGGAGTAGGGTGGTTGTGAGCCCCTGTGTATGCTCAAGGTGTATGGTTTTTTTTCCTTCTGGATGTACACGATCTATTTTTCTATTCTATTATTTCCTCCTTTTTCAAGTGCAAGCTGACAAGAGTCGTCAGTAGTTGGGTGGCGTCTAAATTGTATATATAAAATAGATAAATAGAGAGAGAGAGCGGGATTAATCTTTTGTGCTTCATGAATATCTCTGCTCCAGCTTCTGTTCTATTTTTAATCATCAGGGTGCGCTCTTCATATTTTTACAACTCTAGGAAGAACTGATCAGCCACCAACTGTTCCAATTCTTGGCAGCTGAGATGCGTGGATTGATACGTTTATTCCAACTGTTCTGCACACACATGCCATTTGTTTGGCAAATGTGTTTTCAGCTGCTCAGAAAGGAAAATGCTCAGTTGGATAGCTCTCAGTGTGCTTGGGAATCAGCACCTTGGATGGGCAAGATGCTGTTTTGTCCCCTGTTGTTTGTGCTTATATATTCATGATACATCACAGAGAACAACTCCATATGGATTCTGCCATACCACTGAGAGATTCTGTGATTTTTTCTGAAAGGCTTAAGGATTAACTGGAAAACGTTCCTGAAGCTCACGCTGAGAACATGCAGTCCGCAAGAGGAGTGAGAGAAATTGTAACTCTCTAGTTAGTTCCTGATTCAAAAGAGCGTAACTAGGTCAGGATCAAACATCTGTCTAGTCCAGCTTTCTTATGGTAGTCCAGCGTTTTGTACAATAGTCCAGTGTTTCTTAAAGTGTGGTCCGAGGAGCCCTGGGGGTTCCCCAAGACCCTCTCAAGGGTCCGTGAAATCAAAATGATTGGCCAGAGATGGAAGAAGTTTGCAAAAATTTAAAACAATGTCACTCTTCTCATTATTATTTTTTCTTTGTTAAAAAAATACAGGGTTTTTCCATGAAAAAGATTTTATTTGTTCATATCTAATGGGCTTAATATTGTTCTTTTTACATGATTCAATACATGAATATTCTACAAATGCATCAATTTTAATTTTTAATATGGCAAATATGGATAAATAGAACCCCTCCAAACAAAAGCTCTTTTGCAGTGCTCCATAATTTTTCAAAGCGGGAAGGGGTCCTGAAAGCAAAAAGTTTAAGAAACACTGCTGTAGTCAAGCAAATAGCACAAGATGGGAAATACAGGCTACCACAGTTGGGTTCACACATCATGCTAAACCAGTGTTTCTTAACCTGGGTAACTTCCAGATTGCCATGGCTGAGAATTCCAGGAGTTGAAGTCCACACATCTGGAAGTTGCCCAGCTTAAGAAACCTTGCACTAAACTAAAACTAATATTTTGGCTTAGCCAGTATGGTGCAGACTGTAGTGCAGGAGGGATTTGAAATGGTTTATTATTTGGCCATATTACTTTATAGTGGCATTATCAGTAGAAGCTATAGCCATGGATGTCTCTGGTGATGACTGCTGGTGGGTGTGACCAGGTGATCAAAGCTCTCCCCCTTCTACATATGTGCAATGCACGTGATGCACATTAAAAAAGAGTGAGGGTTTGATCACCTAGTTGTGCCTGCCATGTTATAGCCAGTGACTATCACAGCGGATGGTCCTAGTTACAGCAGGACAAAAATGAAGAATGGAATCTCTGCCCATCTGCATCTAAGTTTTCCTCTTCAAAACGTTTAAAAAGCTAAAGCGTGGAAGGAAGCTAAGTCCTGCATCTAATATGAGTTTCTTTTTTTGCACACATACCTCTCTGCCTAACTACAATACCTTTAAACAAATGTAAAGTGTGCCACCTGTGCAACATTGGGACAAATTCATTTTCTCAGTGTGGACTGTAATATAGTCAAAAGAGCACCAAGGGGTGGGGGTGGTGATACCAAAAGCTTTGGGAGAACCACAAGTTTAGTAGAAATTAAACAAAAAAAGAAACATTAAAGAAAAGGAACTCTAAGGTGTGTGGGGGGGGGGCGGTCAAAAATAGTGTAGCAAAGACTGAGTTTCCTTAGTGAAAATGGAACGCTGAGTAAATATTGAGGAATACTGGGGAAAAAATAGGGAAAAAAAGGGTAAAGGAGAATGGAATAGCATCTTGGAAGAAGCTGCCTGGAACACTGTTGAGAAGGACTGCAAGTCTTGTTTCTATGCTTATTTCTTCCTCCCGCTCCTCCTTATTATTATTATTACTATTATTTGCAGAAAAGGATTGTTCTCTGGAATAAAGATGAAGATGAAGAGAAAAGGAGACAAGGGGTTAATGATTGCAAACAAGGGAGCAGTAGGTAAGACTGCCTAGTTTGAGATGATATCATCTGATATCCAAATGTCCCAGAGCAATTGCTACTTTGAGACACCAGAAGTACTATCCATGATAAAGAGTGTAATAACATGTTACATTTGTCCCAGTGAAGCCTAAACTCTGACCTTAGAGCCCTTTTAAGGGTGGATTTTTCAAGCATCAGTAGCGCAGGATCAATAGAATTTTTTTCTGTGAGTCACAAGGTGTGTGCCATTTTCCATGCTGATGCACTACACTCATGAGCAGGATGTTTCGAAACTCCAAAAATGGAGCCACCATTGAGAAGATCTGGTTCTGGGAATTACCAGTAGAGCATGTCTCTAGTGGACTAGAAGGCAAGGTTTTAGATCAGAGGTGACAAACATTTGATGGCTTGAGACCTCTGTTAATGTTTTTGGATGTCCAGGAACCACAGTGGGTAAGGTAAGGCTGCAAAATCCAGAAATCTTCAGGCCTTTTCCTCTTAGAAAAGGGAAAGGATAGAACAAAAGGGTTTGGCTTTTTTCTAAGAAAGTTAAACCTATTTTAGGGCCTACACTATTGAGCATTGCTTATCCCAGAATGGCAGGGAAACTTTTATTTTCAGCAGCTTTGATCAGAGAAGGCTCCAAGAATTTGAAACGAGGGGTTTCTGGGCAGAAAATTTCCCCCTCCTGCTTTAACCTTAATGCTCAGCCTCTCTCATGCAGGTATGCAAGAGTTAGATAGCTATTTCTAAAGCATCAGTAATGGAAGTCCTCTTGCTTATCACAAATGAACTTCCTCAGCCACAGACAGCTATAGTGGACTATTGCTTGAAATCTCAAAGATCCTCCCTGCATTTATCCAACTGTTCTTTTTCTTTTGGGATTTGTTTTTCAGGGAGAGGCAGGAGAGAAATATTGTACCTTTACAAATCTAAACCAAACCTAGCTGTCAAGGGGACTGATTAACTTGTCCACAGAGATGTCACCAAGAAACTTCCAATCTCCCCTTTTCCCCTTTTAGTTATGAACAGATAGATAAGCAAGAGGCCATTTAGCACTCCATTATTGTTATTGTCAGACAGGCATTTCAACCAAAATAGTGGGGTAGAGTTTCTTAAGACATGAATTCATGCCCTAAAAGCAACATGGTGTCCTCTTCACATTTTGGACTACAGTTCCAGTAAGCATGATACTTATATGGAGGACACAATTTTTGCTTATTTCTACCACAGAATCCATGCTTACAAGTATTGCTTTTCCTTCAACAGAGGAGCAGAAATCTGGAAGTTTGCAGCATGAGGTTGTGGGTGGTCAAGATGGGGAACAAGAAGACATGGTGTATGATGACACTGGCTCTGTTTGTAGCTTTGGAGTCTCAGGCTCTTGGAGCAAAAGGTATATAGGTCATAAAATCTCTTCCTTTGCTAAATACTCCTATCTCTTGTTGATCTAGCCAAAGACAGGAAACCATGGAATTTGTCATGTTTCTCTATAATCTGGCAAGATCTATATGTCAACAACATGTTGCTATCTGAAGACAAGTTGCATCAGATGAAAGGTTTGAGTAGAAAAGAGTGAAGGGAGGAGAACCAGGCTCAAGTCCTTCCTAAAAGCATGTTGGGGAGGGGAGATAGTAACTACCAGAGATTTTCACAGAAGCTAGTGGGAAGGAACAGATCAACAGTCTTGATTTAGCTTTCACTCTTGTCTGTAGAAAGCAAGTTGCTAAATTCAGTGGAAATCAAATCAACCTTCTAGGTGCATTTGATATATGAAGCTACAAAGTACATATACAGCAGTATTTCTCATATATATGAGGCTGATAGCTATATAATATAATGTAAGAACTCTTATGAGTTTGGCAAGCAGGCAAACTCAACATTCCCAATGTTATTTTTTTGCTCTTTGAGCTGAAACTGTGGGAAACTCTGAGCATCCTAGACCAAGCAAATCCAAAAATGCTAGGGAATTCCTGGAAGCTTGGCATTCAGACAAATCAGCCATCAATAGACATAGAAAGAAACCAAATTTGCACATCATTCAAAAGAGAC